GTCTCGGGCTCAACTTTCCGACACTGAATCGAGTTTAATATAATGAAGCTAGATAAGTCCTTTGGATGCAAATGTTTCTGTTGATGTTGTCTGTGGTAAGGTCATTAGTAATATGTTTCAAGGAGCTTCATCTTATCTTTTCTTATTATTGATTTCGGCCTCTTGTCGAATCATGAGCTACAAATGTTATTCATAAGCTACCCTTATACAAGCAACGTCTTTTTGTAACATTGACTTTTGATACTGCGCCAACGTTTAGTAAGTAATTAATAAATTGCTACACTTTCACAACGTTTCCTCGTTAGAAACGTTGTGAAATACACTCACTGTAATAAAAACGGCATCTAACAGGGACTCGTTTAGTAATCTACATATATTGCATGTTGCATAAAGAGCCTATAAGATTATCATTCTTGGAATTTATAGACATGACAACTGATACAGGAAGAGCGATAACCAACAATGTTTAGTTGCATGTTATATGCATACTGTAGTGTTCGCTTTTATACTTGGATACCATTAATAGTCTTCTAAAACAATAAACTTATACATGAGTTCACATATGTTCTGAGACAGCTCATATTGCAATGTTCCATTGCTGTATTTACTTACATTACTGTATGTCTAGTGATACCAACCGAACAGCAACTCTGTGTGACGTAGGGATGTGTACCATTGACATTCATTGACAAATGAATTTGTGCTTTTCAAGGTGCCTTTATCGAAGAAATGTATCGTTTCATCCCGTTGCGCTCCAGCACGCAAATTATTTGAAACGTAAAGCTAACTGGGCCAAGCCTACTCATTGGTGATGGCATTTATCGTGACTGAAACTAACCCTGGGTGGCAACAGTGAAACAAGAAAGTAAATGAGAACGTATCATGTCCTAGGTGAAATAACGACTAAAACAACTTAAAAAGCAACATATAATGATTGAAAACCTACCTGCCACGAGCTGTATCCAACAGGCAGACAACACTGAGCAGTCAGTATCCACACACCCACCATGTGTGACAACCAGGAAGTTGATTCCGCTTGGCTGTGAAGATGGGGCCACCTATTACTACACGGGTAAACAGAATGCTGCTCACCGTCAAAATAAACATTGTAGTCTATAAGCGGGTGTCTGCTTTCATACAATGTAAATATCTAAAATGAATGTATTTTTGTAGCTTCAAGGGCACGTTTATACATAACGTCGACATAGTGCACAAGTGTATGACCAAGACACAATGACATGTTCACATGTTATTTAAGTTCAGTTAACGGCTATGGTACACGTACTACGACCTGCGTTATCAAAATGTGCAACCATTAGATATATAACCTGTTTGGACGCTTACTTTACTTACAACAAAAGTTCAGCGAATATTCGCTGATGAACTTAATGTAGGTACATGATTATTTGTGTGAGCATAGAGGTAAACAAGTCTCAGGGCCTGCAGTCGGAGATGTTTATGCAAAGGTTATATAATGTCAATGCTCAGAGCCACGAGTAATAATTTATTGTCTATGTTTTTATTTGTGTGAACACACTCCATCTGTCCTATGTACTTATATGTATTAGTGATATAAATCAGTCACACGTATTATCCCTGTGTGTTCTATAAGTCATGGAAAATGCATACACACGCCCTCCATGGCATACTCGGTATATGAATCAGACACACACAATCCCCTGAGTGTTAGATCAGGGATTAGTGTTAGATTCATAAAATGAGATATTCCCTCTGTGTTGCATTGGTCATAGGAATCAGACGAACACACTCTCACCACTCTTCATCCATCTAAGCACACGCCATTTGTGTTATGTTAGTTAGTAGTGAGACAGAACAACGAGTTTTTTTATAACTAGATATGGAAGGGCAACAGGGGATGTTTGGTAAACCAAAACTAACTGGCATTGGAAATTTAAATACGAAGTATACATTATATCTCCACTGAGGCAATGTCGATACTGTCTTGCATATGTGAATATACAGTTCTGCCGGTTGTCATAGTTATGGTCCGTAGTATGGTCTATTATTATCTAGAAGCTCAAGAACCAAGTGTCATCTGAATAAACAACAATGACAAGCATGAAGCTTAAATTTACGTGAATCAATGTTGATTGCATATTGTTCGTGTTGCTCGGTAAGGTGCCCCATGTGTCATATTCTGTGGCCACAACATCCTGTTTGATAAACAAACTTTAATCAATGAGTTGACGCATAAGTGCAAGGCCGTGAAGAACATGGCCACTTTACGTGTACACATCTTTTAACTTGGAAGATTATATTAGTGGAGCCAGACTACTTAGTGATTTGCAGGATAAGCATTTGGACATCAACATGGCAGAGCCAGTCAACTAAGATATAAGAGTGAGTGAGTGAGTGAGTTAAAAATTTTCATTGCATCAGCAATATTGCAGCCATATAGCGATCAGAACAAGTTTATAACTTATTAAATACCTGTTGACAAAGGAAAGTAAAACAGTGAGGTAAGTCTCACGGTTTAGGTATGAATTAAACTAGAACAAATGATTTTTCATTGGTTTATTAAGTATAAAAGCTAGCCACCCCACTGGGGACAAAGATATAAGAGGAAGGGTGAACCCTGAAAACATGTTTACACATAAAAAAACCCTGCTATAATAACAGGACAACAGACCATTGTCTACTGGACAATGGAGCATGTGATTAACCACATTCAGACACGCCCCTTATAATAGCTTCCTCTAGTGAAGTGTTACCAACACATCAACATACTGTACTGTGTTGATAAGAAGTAGGTGCATGAGTATTTAGAAGCAAGGGATTTAAACTTTTCCATGACAGTTCCTTCTCCTAGCTGCAGAAACCAAGATTCATATTTGGAATTTTACGAGGATGATACTGTTAAAGCTGTAATAATCCCAAATTTGCTAACAATTTGCTCCCTCTCTCTCTTTTATTATGTTGTTCATCAAAATATATCGATGAATGACACAGCAGATGATATTATGTTGATCGATTTTGATTTTCACATAAACTATGCGGCAAGACTGATAGCAATACAACTCTTGGCTATAATTTGAATGAGACACAATAGGAACGGTAACAACCACTTCATATGAAAAAGCTTTTATCCTCCTGTGAAACATTAAATCACAATATCCTTCTGAATTATCAGCCAAAGTACTAATAGTAATACAATAATACCACATTGTTATAAGTTCATGTTATTATCTGATTAGGGGGCGGTCGGGTAGCCTAGTGGTTATAGCGTTCGCTCGTCACGCCGAAGACCCGGGTTCGATTCCCGACATGGGTACAATGTGTGAAGCCCATTTCTGGTGTCCCCCGCCGTGATATTGCTGGAATATTGCTAAAAGCGGCGTAAAACCGTACTCACTCACTCACTTACTCCTTTGAGTAGAAGGTTAGCTGTTCGATCTCACGGCAGCGTCATGTCAAAAGACGTTGTAAGATGATATTTGTTGTTACCCTGCCTGGCGCTCGGCATTAAGGGGCTAATACAAGCCCCAACTGGGCGATTATTAAACAAATCAGTTTGAATTTCTTTTCCTATATGGGTTGTAAAGATAAAACTTCATTCAAGGGAAATAACTATACTTACATATCGGATAGCATGAATAGTGATGTGGATTATATATGTTTATCATAATAATGAAGCAGAACATGATGAATACCCAGCCATGTAGGGACATGTCATAAACAACGATGTCGACCATGGCGGCCTCTTAACTGACGGGAATGTTGTTGCCGGTAAAGATAACAAAACTCTCATAAACAAATCACTGGGTTTTGGGGACAGGGAATACTGATTCACCAGACAAAGGATATAACTTGGATTTGAACAAGTGGTTGATTTCTGTTTCATCTTTACATCTTGAAGTTCAGAAGTATTTGGTCGTTGATGTGGCTGGAGGTGAATATTCGTACATCATCGTAGTTGCTATGCCATTTACTTTAACATCGCAGATACAGTTCACATAAATAATAATGGCCGCTTATATTTCATACCTATTCTAGGTCAGTGGCACAATAAATACAAACGTTTCGGTAATTCATTCATATATTCCTGCTTCAAGAGCAATGGGTTGCCAAGTGGCCTGTGGCGTCAGAATCGGATGAACGTGATCCTCGTCTCACCAGGATCCGTTGATCGTGAATTTGAATTACCGATTCATCCTGATCCGTGTTTTGTCAGCATTTCACCCGTAAAGTGAAGAAGTTGCTTTTCTTACTTATCGTAAGTGATATTTTATGTGCTTTGTCGAAATGTCCAATGCCTTATGAAAACGTTTAATACAGCAAGTGAGTCAGTTCATTGAAGACGCCCCAGTAGCTATATCGGATGAAATTAGATCTTCAGTAACTTACAACTCACGCTCATTCAGTTATGGAAGACTGAAAGAAAATGAAACCTAAAAATAATATGAAGGACACGGAAGTTTTTGAGTTAAACGTATTTTTAATATATGAAATTATAATTGCGTGATCATATAAAAACTCACATTTTATTTGAGGCTGACAACTGGAGATCATAACTCAGAAGACTTATGATTCTGAGTTACACAGAATAATGTATGGTTGATATATGTTTTCGCTGACACACCAACCCAGCCTTAGTGTTAATTTGTAGACCATTTCAAAATAAATCTGTGACATGTTGTGACATTTCTTGTCCAATCAAAATATATTTGCTACCTAAATTGCAGCTTAATTTTTAACTTTTGAAAAAGCTTTCTTCTGCCAAGTTACCTTGATAGTAAAACCAAAAGTAAATGCATACTCAGTATCTGTTTTCACAAGAATCGAATCAATACATTTGAAAGAACCTGTCCATATTTCTGTAATTTCGTTAAATCAAATCAATCGCTATGCAATAAATATCAAATTCGAAAAAAACGTGCAAACTCTTTTCTTTACAAAGATATGAAATTGTTTATTTATACTTTGCGACTTTCATAATATATATATATATATATATATATATATATATATATATATATATATATATAGAGAGAGAGAGAGAGAGAGAGAGAGAGAGAGAGAGAGAGAGAGAGAGAGAGAGAGAGAGAAATAACGTCCATGTGCATCTAGAAATCGCATTCACTTAGCCAGCAATATATAACATACAAATCGGAAAGAGAAAATAAAAAAGATGTGCATATGGATTTCATAAACAAATAATTTGCTACGAGTGCAACCAGAAAAAACGGGTTGTGCCGAGCAACAAGAGGTCATTAATAATACAACGCAAAATAGCAAGTTCATAGAAATATGGTGAATGTAACAACATTAAAACTATGAAAATTATTTTCCCTAATAAAATTGAATTCAAGGATTCAAGCTTCCAGTGTGTTTCATATTTTGACGGTATGATGTCCTCAAATTTGCAGGCTTACAGAATATGGGTAATCTGTGATATTATGTCATTGTTTGTCTAAAATATTGAACGTTTCCTTTAGGCCACTGTTTCATACAGTCGCTTCCATGGAAGGTACGGTTCTTGTTGTCACATGTTGGCGTAAACTCCGCGTGTCTCCAGTCGCCGCTGAGTAAACTCCAGACATAGTCTCACGTCAGCCTGGAATATTAGGTTACATGATATTATGACACAGGCTGTGTTCAGACGCTGTTAGTGGAGAACATGGTAAATAGAGGGTGCCAATATATTCTAAATAATGATTCCATATCCATGATAAAATAGATAATCGTTAAACAGCAATGACATGATGTCAGGTGCAATGGGATTTAACGTCGTGTTTAAGATTAGTGTACTTATATACCGACGGGCATTTAGCTATGCGTGTGTGCGTGTGTGTCTGCTTGTACTAGTCCAGACTAATATGCGTTTTATAGTGCTAGCTCATAGCACGAAGATACTACGCGGCAGTGTATCATGGATACTCAACTCAGACACAGTAATCTGACTTTTTCAGCCGACGAGTCTTTGTGTTATCTCTTTAACGTCAAACCCCATCGGGTTTGACACGATCGGGGATCGGAGTAATGACATGAATGACATGACTAAGTCAAGCTACACGCAGGCTACACTGTCTCTGATCAGCAAAGATCTCCGCGACTACCTCTGTGAATGGTGGACCTCCCAAACGTGTGTAAAGTTGTCGCATGTTGTTGATGACGTCCACTCTACCGTCGTCCTGCAGTCTGCTGGCGATGTTCACAAGAGGAACCAGGAGTCGACACTCGCTCATACAGCTGAAATACACATAGTCATGCTCAAGGCATGTGGTGTGTTTGGTGACAGTGTAGTTGTTTTGTTACAGAAAGGACATGATCCTGAGGTGATCAAGTGCTTAGATGGTTCCGTATATACTTACTCAGAAATGATCATGCTGCAGACTCGTTCCAGATCATTGGTCCATGTCAGAAGGCTATCAATAAGCAAATCCAGTTCCGCGTCACGTGCACTTCCGGTGTTTTGGTAGTGTTGCATAACAGTGACCTCGCCACTATGCTGGAGGAAAAATGTAGAATGTGATTGCTTGAAGAAAGCTTGTTTGCTCTTACCTAATGTATTTTTGACACAGTTAAGATTTCGTAAGAAGCAGGTTACCCAAGAAATATTCTTTTATAATAACAAATAATGAATTAAGCCAGTAAACTAAAACATCCATGTTATATGGATATCAGTGTCTAGATGAAATGCCCCAGGTTAGTAACCAATTAAATACCAAGGTTTAAAACAGAACTAGATTATTTATTTTGTTAAGAACGCATACCTTTAATTTGACTTCAACCGTGTTCAGGATGATGTTGTCAGACAATGGGGTAGATCTGCACACAGTCACTTCGAACCTCTTGGTTGTCACTGAAGTTTTAGCTGTTGGTAGATAACACTGAAAGAGAATCATTTTGTTTCTAGATACGATGTACCCTGTTACACTGTTATGTCATGGTTTTAGAGTAAATAGAGGTGATCACGCGGGTGTGCTATGGGATGGCTAATATCCTGTATCATGTTGCGAGTTTATTCCTAATATAAGATAATGCCATGCGTGATAACCTTTTTATCATACAATATCATTCTTAATTTATATCCCCCAAAAAGTTTTTTCGGCACTCACAGGCAGTACTTAAACAAAAGCCAGTTTTACGGGAATATGCGTATTGATATATTACGTAGCAAGGTCGATCAGTGATTTGTCACTCGGACAGGGACAACAGTTAATATAGTTCCAACTGAAACTTCCAAATTCCAAGGTCTTAAGACAGTGGCGTAGCTGCTATTATTTTTTAATGTCATCCATCCTCCCGCTAGAGTAACTGCCCTTTGCCAACGAGAAGCTACTCCAATTAATGCGATGACCCGTCTGCCTGGTTTGTGATAAAGTTAACAAATGCAGTGAGATGGCTTATATAACGACAAAATGGAACAAGGTAAACTATTATAGGCAAATCCAACTGTTTTAACTCTGGTAATCACTGCAGCAAATATGTGAAAATTAATAAATCAATGTGTACTTGAACTCTGAGATCTCCGCTACGCCACTTGTCAGACACTGTTGTTCAGTATCTTAGACTTGTTATTTTTAACACGGTAACACTTATCAAGTAATGTGTTAAGAATTCCGATGATCAATATTGACTCGATGAGCGATAGACAAGGGCGAAGCCATGTTTGTTATTAAATCCTGAAGGTAGTAAATGCCTCTATCCGATCTTTTATATTTGCAGATGTACCCGAACAAAACCCAAAGGATACCACATTTATCCGTTGGCTTTATCTGACAGAGAAATATAGTTACCCTCATACGATATACAAAAAAACAATTTGATGCATTTAATTCCTACATGCCCTCCTACCTACTCAAACTAAAAGCAGTAATGCTTAAACATTTGATAGCTTATAATATGACAAACACATGCAGAGGTTACATGTTTATCTAATTTTAACCAACCTGATCATGTGTAGGGTACGTGAATATACTTCGGCAGTCACTATTGTAAAGTGTCTCCCACACTTCCTCTTTGTTCGGATGTGATGTCATGATAACGAAACCATTCCGCGATGTATATGACTGGAGAATATAAAAGAAAATTGATGAATGTGAAGCGGAAATAAGTTCATTTGAAGAGTATATACGAGATGAAAAATATATAGTAATTAACGCACACACAATACATTATTCCCTGTTTTCGTTGTTTAAAATATATTCTGTGAAAAACTAAGAACAACTTTTGGACGGGATATAATTTACATCAGGGCACGCCAATGACAGGTGTGTTGACAATATGTCTGCCATATAGGGGAGTACATGTACTTACTGGTACAGTCTTGAAGAGTGAATCGTCGGGTTGGTCTGGAAGCGAATAACATGTAAACTTAGAGGATACTGCTACGTCGCTTTGAACACTATTCCAGTTATATCACGATGTAACAGCTTGGTGGGAGAAGAAAGCCCGAAGTGATGAAGGTCTTTGACATTTAACACTTTGATGAGACCCTCGAGCACGGGTTTGGTGCTGACAAACTTCTGATTCATCCCCATTATCATACGTTTTTCCATAATTAAAACACTTTTCTTAAAGTAAGCAATGTCGCAAGTTCGTCCTATGGAGAACACTCTGTATGGTCCTAAGGGTGATGCTAGGTTCAAGACGCCAAGTTTTAAACTAAGAACCTTGACCAATTACATCAGTGAAACATGAAGGCGCTGCATATTATGTCAATAACTGTTGCAAAACTTAAACATGTATGTTTACTTTTAAAGTAGGTCACGATAGCCTTTAAACTGACATGACAAGGTGGTGGTCATAAATGTCCTTTAACAAACTGCCTCGAAAACATACGGAAGAAGGAAAACTACAAACGGTATCAAATTAAGAGCCTTCTATTATGCATCAGTTTATAGTAGAAATGGCATTGCCGAAAACATCAGACATTCATTTACTTATTGAACATTTTATCATCAATTCTTATCAATTAGATGGATAACATTTATCATTACATATAACATGTCACAACATGAAATGATATAATTAGCTATTCTGTAATGGAAGTATGCATACCTTGCAAATCACTTTGCAAGACCTGCAAAAGAATGAATATAGGTTTTAGCATGTAGTAATAGTGATCTTACTGAATATTAAACGGAACTTAATTCGTTATTTGCCGTTTTAGGTGCATGTATGGTATGTTATTTGTCATTGCAACATCTCTTCCAAAGCGATCACATACGAGAATTAACATCACTGATGTAAATTTCACCCCCTGCCTTGATATGTTGTTGAACAGTCCTATTTCCCATAGCAATGGCCGACACGTGATCCAGGTTCATCTCTCTGATGACGTCACAATCCAGTGACGTATCACCCTCTGTCACCGCCCTCGCCACCGCCTGATACACGAACAGGTACTGCTCCTGGGGGTGTAGAGGTGTTTAAGTAACAACTACAGACAATACATAAATGAGCCAGATGGGCGTAACGTTGCTTTGAATTGTGTTTCTTTCAAATAGACATTATAGCTTTGCAGCAATTGTAATGCATAAAATAACCCAAGAGACACGTACATGTACATAACAATAATAAATAGAGGTTATTTCAAGAGACACGTGGAATATCCTATTCATTATATACTTTTTTGTAGTTGTCTACCGGAAAATTAAATTATTTCATTACTAATGTAAAACCTTGAAACGTAAATTCTTCCTGTGTAACACACAGGGACGGTTCACCACCCCTAGTTTTCGCGACTAAAAAAGCAGTTTCGTGTTTGCAAAATCGTATCTTACGACAGAGACCCAGGTGCACAGTACAAAAATGTAAAAGTGTTGTTATTGCATTCCTTAAAGTTCTCAGTGAAACAATTTCTGATGATCCTTGTGTCACAATATATAGTAGAAAATAAGAAACCACTACTGCATTTACTTACCTTTGTCTGAATCATGTTCTTCCTCTGCCCTCTCATGTTGGAGACAAAGCTGACGACGTCTACAACGCCCTCTGTCTTAGCCTGTTCCACAAGACTCTCGACAGCGATGTACGTCCCTGTCCGACCTATACCAGCACTGAGTACAAGAGACAGTAAATCAACTAAAGCATACGAATCATGGTAAAAGATTAATCGGCCCTACATATTATTAGACAAGAACAAGTGTTTCGTTGTCTGTCGTAAAATTCTGTGTCAACCACTTCTTCTCTGTCAAAACAATAGTATGCGATTGATATGTTCTGTTCTCGTTAGGGGCAGTGATGGTCGACTGAGTGTCTTTACAAAAAGGCTTTCGGCATTGTTAAATATTGACACATGTAACGTTTTATTCAGTGCTATGGATACACACAAGTGTATATAAATCCAACAAACCCTTTCCGTAAGAAATATCATATGGTACAAGCCAAAATAGTGAATAGTGAAGAGTGAATAGCTGCATAGACACAGATAGAGGCACCCTTTTTGTCGTAATGTTTTCACCTGCAGTGAACTATGATCGGCTCTGTTTGTTGTCCAGATATGACCTTGACCCTCCACATGAAGTCCAGAAGGGCAGCAGTGTCTGGAACACCATGATCTGGCCAGCTGGTGAAGTGAAGGTGGTAGACATCCCGTCTCTCGCTTCCCTGAAATATGTCAAAAGCGTCCCAAAGGGATATTTAAACAATGTGATATTATAGGTTTAGGGTTTGATCCCCAGCGCTCGGCAATAAGGGGATAAAACAAGGACTGGTCGAATCGGAGTAAAGAATACTGTGTCTGAGCTGGATGTTCATGCTAAACTGCCGCCTGGTATTTCAGTGTGCCAGCACTGTAAAATCCGCATTAGTCCGGTCATAGTACAATCAGACACACACACATTGGTTACATTTATTGGTTACGTTTTAACTGCTTAAACAGTTAATATTAAAACATTTTACTTTCTCTTTGATCTCTCACCGTTATTACCTTTGTACCTATACTCTAATATCTATTTCTTTTCTATTATGTTTACCTACTCCAAAACCGATTCCAATGTCTTGAAAATATAACTAATGTTAATGACCAAGGATGTGCAGACTGATTCACGTCCACCTTTTCATTCTCAACAGCCAACTTGGTGATGGTGCAGTTGGCTAGTCGTGTCTCTGTTTCCACCGTAACCATAACATCTCCAAACTTCTCTGGTCCTTTCCCCGAAGGCCAATACTGTAGGCACTTCACCTGTGAACCAATGTAAACAACGTTCCAATGTGGGGAATGTGCTCAGTGCTGTGCTCTGTTACATGATTAAATATCAGGATATAAATAGGATATAAATAAGTAATGTGAGATATTGAGATATTGCATTGAAGATTCACCCAAGCACTTAAGTTTAAAATTCACACAATAATTTCTTAACATTTTCCCAAAACCACTCATGATTCACTTCCTTCAAACAAATCCTCTCCTACCTTGCCGGCTTCCACCAACCCAGTTACCATAACAATAGACGTGCACCCTTCTTGCCAAATCATCCTCCAGAAATCCTCGACAATGTCCGACTTGTAGGGACCTAGGAAAAGTGTTATGTGTTATTATCGTTACTTAAATATCATTCTGACAAGGACACAGCTACTGTTATTTGATTAAACAATACACCGTATGGTTATAGATATCAAAACGAATAAAGCCGTTACATGACACTGAATCTATACATCTAGACTGACACACATTTATTGGATAATGGTAATGTTGTTATCTATTGTGTTTATTCAAATGTCGTGTTCTCGGCTGTTATCAATAAGCATGTGTACTACCTTGTGCTGCAATGTATCGATTGTCAGTTTTATATCCCTGAAAGAGACAGGATAAAAACGATGTTATTCATAACTGGAATGTTGTATGTTAAGTTCACTTCTAAATGGTAGGCTTGAATGTAAAACACGGGCAATGGACATTTACTGTGTGTATTTACATAACATGGGCTCATGGTACTACTGTATTGCGGGAACTGGTATGTAACCTTAACAAGGACAAGAACGAGAAAACAACTTCATAACCATGCTATGTAAATAATGACAAATCAAAACTCACATCTAGGTAGCTGGCGTTGATGTAGTCGCCTCTACTGCCGTCACTGTCGTCGTGCAATACCACACGGTTGAAGTCATCTAGAAAATAGAAGATTGCGTGTTCAGCAGGAACCCATATTATATTTAATAAGTGGACAGGCAAGAACGTTCTATCATACTCACATGGATAGTATCCCTTGAATCTATTCTTCCCTTTGTTCCCTGCCTTCTGAGATTCGCCGTAGCTGTGGGTAAATCCGCCCGGCAAGCGCTAAGACATACAGAGTAACTATTCACAAACACCGACATCTTAGCAAAAGTGAAAAGAACCTGCTCAAAATACTGTTCACAAAATTCGTGATCTTTGCAAAACTGAAAAGAATTTGAGGAGAACACTGTTCACGAAATCCGTCAACTGAAAACATATAAAACATTTCGTACTATAACAACTATAGACATCTGTGCATTTATCCTGCATGGGATTATTTGTTATTTGTTTATTATTTTTACTCAGAAATAAATGACCTGCACTTGTATTATCGTTATCCTTCTCAACATTCTTTTCTGGTTTTAGGAAGAGGACTCCGAATACAGACCAGACATTTGTCTTTCAATAAAACACAACTTTACCTCGAATGCCTCTTGGGGATGATTTTCAATTTCACGTACTCTTGCCTCAAGAGAAGACAATGGAATCACGTGATCAAGGTCGCTTAAGTTGTAATAGCTGCATTCTGAGTCACCCGGTACTGCTTCTCCCTCCGGATGTATGTCAACATGGGCGTCCTTGTCGTCTTCCTCTTGGTTGGCCACACTCGGGGTATCAGCTTCCCGTGGATGCTCTTGATGGCCGTGATCTTTGTCAACAATAGCCAGAATTTGTTTTTTCTTTGGCACGGTATCGTTCTCCTCAAACCCAACATTCATGTAAACGTTATCAGCACCTGAAACCATGACCAGCAGAATAGTAACTTCTTTCTGAAGATATATGAACGAAGGTATGTAACACACCATGATAAACCATTTCAGCTAAACTATTGACACGAACCTACCCTGTTTGAAAGCTGTGTGTAATCCAATCGGCGCCACATCTTAAAAAAAACCCTGCTCTGAACGCTGGAATATTCATTTCTTGGTCAGCGTTATTTCGACTGTAGAACAGTATCAACTGCAATATAACTAATATATACTGTCGGAAATATAGCCAATATGACTGTAATGCATAAGCTTGATAACAAACATACCGTTACCTTGGAGCTTTCTATTCCTGGAGGACGTCTCGCCAAATTCTGGTCCATCGGGTGACTTATTCCCTCTGTTTCTTCTTCTCCTATAAGTTAAAGCACATGGTCATCAGTATCCCATTTACACTTTGAGTTCAATTTAGTTCAATGTTCCCTGGCGGATGAAACTGACCTGATGATGACGAGGAGGAGGACCAGCACCAGGACCAACAGGACAAGGCCGGCCACAGCACCACCAACTGCCGCGCCAGGCACAGACGGGGATGTTGGAGCTTGGGTGTGTACTGCAAGTAAAATATGCACAAAATGCACTAAGAAACAAACCTACATGTTAATATATCTACATTGCATTCTGCTTGTAAAGCAAAGACAAATACAAAAATTATGTGATTAAAAATACTTCAAAGCCACAGACTAGGACATGCTTCAAAACAAGGTAATTTGGCCAAGAATTTGAACTTAAGCTTCAGGTAAATCGAGGATCTGATAGCGTTCAATAAACTTCAAATATCCATTTCTCTTCTACTGATTTATCCACCTGAACTAGACACAAAGGAATGTTTAATCTGTTTCATATTTAGATTTATGCATAAAGATTCAGAGTGACCAAAACACTCTCCAAAAGATTGCATGACAAGAGAGATGATTTCAACTTTCCAATAGTCAATATTCCTGTAGCTCCAGCCTTTGGTGTTTACATTTCACAACTTTTGAGATACAATCGAGCATATTCTTTCTATCACGATTTCAAAGAACGTCACACGACGCTTGTTCAAGGTTTCAACATTGAAGGCATCAGTAAAGCTTTCAAAAAGTTTTATAGAGAGATGTCAAGGACATTTCCAAATTTGACGCATCTGTGACAACAATGATGTCCTATGCAATTGCCTATTTTGACTTGTACCATGTGTTCCCGTGTTGTTGTTAGGTGAACAATTGACTTCCCTTTGCATGTGTTTGTGACGGGTGCCACTGGTGGGACAGGATACACTCACCTTTTCTATCATTACTATTTGATAGTGATTTAGAAAACATGCTCATGATGTGGTCAGAATCGTACAATCGACTCTAATTTATGCAGATATTTCTATTGCATATGGAAAGGATTTTGTCGCTTTATTGATCAGGATTCGCTGACCTTTTCGCGAACGCCTGGTATCATTACTATTTGATTGTTATTCATGCTACATGCCCATGATATGGTCGGAATTGTGCAATCGACTCTGCTTTTGGCAGAGACTTCTTATGAATATGGAAACGTAAGGGCTTTTGTCGCAATATATTGTCTGATCCAGACCATTAGTTACAGGTGGTCGTCATATAAAAACAACAAACCAACAGCAATCCGACACAACCCTCCTTTTCCGTTTTCAATTGGTACGGTTTTTTGGGCCAGAGATAATTATACGTAAATATTTACAGTTAATAAAACTTTGAATAGCTGTGTATACTGTGACAGTTAATGCTGACATTGAAGTCATTCAAATAAAGTGCATATTAATATAATACCACTGCCTCTCATACTTCTGAAAATAGTTATTTACAATTTAAACACAGAACTACTCCTTCCCATATTACAGTCCAGCCATTGCCACTGTCTACCTGTTGACATAACATAGTTATGTGTACAGTGCGCTCCGGTCAACCCCGTCTCACACCCAGTGTCACAGTGCCCTGTTGAGTTACAGGAAGAGTTCCCCACACAGTGTCTGGAGGGGGCACGGGTGGCCCAGTCGTCTAAGGCGCCGCGATTCGCTGTGCAGAGTTGCGTCCCTTGGGCACGCCAGAAACCTATGATTGTGGGCTCGAATCCTGGTTCGCCCCAATTATGTTTCTAGGTTTGTCAGCACCATACCCGTGCTCGTGGGTTTCACCGAAGTGGTAAACGTCTGAGACCTCCATCACTTCGGGCTTTCCTCCCTTATTAAGCTGACACGCCTTGATATAACTGGAATACTGTTAAAAGCGGCGTTAAACCCAACTCACTCACTCACTCACTCACAGTGTCTGGAGGCACAGGTCTTCTTACAGTTAGCTCCGTAATGTTCTTTATCACAAGCTGTAACATTATAGAATAGACTGCAAAGAATACGTAACGAATGAATATGATATGTATCTAACGAATAGGAAAATAGAAAATGAAAAAAAAACATGCTATAGTTTAAAACAGGCACAGCTGCTAGAGTATATCGTATTTCTCCGACAGGATATTCGCTACGTTGAACACGTAGCACAAGACTTTCGATATATATTCCAATGTTAAACTCAAAATGTAAAACATGGCGAGTCTCCTGCACACTTCCTGTCAGTACAAGCGTTGCTGCAGTTCTGTCCATAGCTTCCATTTGAGCACACTGTGGAACAATCACAGCGGCACAATAAAACATTACAAAAGCCATTGCTATTTTGTGTGATTATTTCTTCTTTTAATTGAAATCTTTGATGTTATTTAATAGTGGTATAAATGTAAATGGCGTCAATGCCGTGGCCAAGGCTTGAAAAAAACAGGATAACATTAGAGGTAATGTTCTCTGAAGGGTTATTGTTTAAGTGTATGAACAATCTATCTCCCATTAATCTCAAACGAAAGCCATCACCAGACATCAGCTAGAGGGTGACTATTTGATATAGAATTGTATGCGGATAAGTTTTGTTTTTCAAAGGGACTTTATACCTGCTTCAATCAGTCATTAAATTAGCGATGTGCATTTTAGATCACTTGTATATTAAGTATATTATATGGACTAATAAGTCACCATGTGAGAAGTTGTTCCTCATGACAATTCCTTACAACAAACAAATAAACAAACGTGTTCTTGCTAAATATAATGGTCGCAGCACAAATATAAATCGATGTGATCGTTCGTGTGGGTTGTATTGGACATTAACATTGTTTTGAGCTAATAATAATAAGGTTCGTTTTTCAAAGGTATAGATAACTAAATGTAATGAATGTTGGTTTAATAATCTAAATCCTAGTTCCAACCTTTTAATTTATGTATAAACAGTCTGAGTACATCATTGAATGGTAAAGTTAAGATTGGTCATTTACAAGTGTCGCTGGTTGGATCACAGAATTGATAGGTTAATATCACTGTTGAATGTTTGCCTGTAAAGTAAACATGTACATTTAGAGGCTTACCTCCTGTACAGTCTTGCCCCATCCACCCTGGCTCACACCCGGAAACACATGTCCCCCGTACGTGATCACATGGCGAGTCTCCTGCACACTTCCTCTTAGTACAGGCGTTGCTGCAGTTCTGCCCATAACTTCCCTCTGAGCATGCTGTGGAGAAATCACTAAGTTACAAACACATTACAAAAAGGCATTGCTATTTGTGTGATGTTTACTTGTTTGAATTCACATCTTAAATGTTATTTAACACTGGTATAAAAGTAAATGTATCCATGCCATCGCCAAGGTTTGATGAAACAGGATAATATTTGAGTAAAGTTTTCTGAATGTTTATTGATGAAATGTATGAATAATCTATGTCCCATTAATTTCAAACGAAAACAAACCATGCTTGCCATAGAAAGGCGATTATTTACAGATCGCCGTCATATACATGTAGCTGGAATAATCGCTGAGTGCGGCGTTTAACAATAAAGAAAGAAAGAAACAAACATCAAAACGTAAGCCATCAGCAGCCATCGGCTAATGATACGATGGTTAAATGCTATTTGATATGACATTTGTACGGATAGTATTTGTTTCAGAAAGGAACTTTATATCTGTTTGGATCAGTTAGTACACCAGTGATGTGCATTTTAGATCACTTGTATATTATGTATATTATACGGAATAGTAAGTCACTGCTATCCCGAACTTGTCGACATTGAATATTCCCAATGGTGATTACGTTTGGTTGTGTGTTTGTTCCTTTACGTCGTACTCAGCAATATTCCAGCTATATGATGGCGGTCTGTTAATAATCGAGTTTGGTCCAGACAGTCCAGTGATTGACATCACACGCATCGATCTACGCAATTGGGATACGATGACATGCATAAACCAAGTCAACGAGCCTGACCACTCGATCCCGTTAGTCTCTTACGACAAGCATAGTCGCCTCCTTATGGCAAGCATGGGCTGCGGAAGACCTATTCTGACTCGGGACTCCACGGGTCCAAAGGTGATTAAGCTGTTTCAATGCTTGTCCTAGTGGACAACAAATTCCAATTGTGTGGATTGTTCTAATGTGCTCACCCACTTATTAGAGTTTCTAAGCGATAGTATTCCCGAATGGCCCATACTGAAAAAATGACTTGGCATGTGGATATCATTCAGTTAGCGGACATAAACATAATGAATACTAGCGTAGAAGGTTATTGTGGGCATATCGGCTTGAGACACAAGCATTTGATTTTGCTTATGCTCTTAATGGCTGATGGTGAAATCGCTTTGCAATTGAAAGAATACGACGCCAAACGGTACATTAATAAGTTAAAGTATTCCTCTCTTGACAAGTTTAAAGCAATCCGTGCTTGTCGTACGATTGGATTTTAAAGATGCGTGCCAACGTGAGAAGTTGTTCCTCATGACAATTTCTGGTGACATATTGCTCATTGCAGCGTTACAACAAACAAATAAACAAACGTGTTCTTGCTAAATATAATGGTCGCAGCGCAAAAATAAATCCAGTGTCTGGAGGGGGCACGGGTGGCCCAGTCGTCTAAGGCGCCGCGATTCGCTGTGCAGAGTTGCGTCCCTTGGGCACGCCAGAAACCTATGATTGTGGGTTCGAATCCCGGTTCGCCCCAATTATGTTTCTAGGTTTGTCAGCACCATACCCGTGCTCGTGGGTTTCACCGAAGTGGTAAACGTCTGAGACCTCCATCACTTCGGGCTTTCCTCCCACATTAAGCTGACACGCCTTGATATAACTGGAATACTGTTAAAAGCGGCGTTAAACCCAACTCACTCACTCACTCACAGTGTCTGGAGGCACAGGTCTTCTTACAGTTAGCTCCGTAATGTTCTTTATCACAAGCTGTAACATTATAGAATAGACTGCAAAGAATACGTAACGAATGAATATGATATGTATCTAACGAATAGGAAAATAGAAAATGAAAAAAAAACATGCTATAGTTTAAAACAGGCACAGCTGCTAGAGTATATCGTATTTCTCCGACAGGATATTCGCTACGTTGAACACGTAGCACAAGACTTTCGATATATATTCCAATGTTAAACTCAAAATGTAAAACATGGCGAGTCTCCTGCACACTTCCTGTCAGTACAAGCGTTGCTGCAGTTCTGTCCATAGCTTCCATTTGAGCACACTGTGGAACAATCACAGCGGCACAATAAAACATTACAAAAGCCATTGCTATTTTGTGTGATTATTTCTTCTTTTAATTGAAATCTTTGATGTTATTTAATAGTGGTATAAATGTAAATGGCGTCAATGCCGTGGCCAAGGCTTGAAAAAAACAGGATAACATTAGAGGTAATGTTCTCTGAAGGGTTATTGTTTAAGTGTATGAACAATCTATCTCCCATTAATCTCAAACGAAAGCCATCACCAGGCATCAGCTAGAGGGTGACTATTTGATATAGAATTGTATGCGGATAAGTTTTGTTTTTCAAAGGGACTTTATACCTGCTTCAATCAGTCATTAAATTAGCGATGTGCATTTTAGATCACTTGTATATTAAGTATATTATATGGACTAATAAGTCACCATGTGAGAAGTTGTTCCTCATGACAATTCCTTACAACAAACAAATAAACAAACGTGTTCTTGCTAAATATAATGGTCGCAGCACAAATATAAATCGATGTGATCGTTCGTGTGGGTTTTATTGGACATTAACATTGTTTTGAGCTAATAATAATAAGGTTCGTTTTTCAAAGGTATAGATAACTAAATGTAATGAATGTTGGTTTAATAATCTAAATCCTAGTTCCAACCTTTTAATTTATGTATAAACAGTCTGAGTACATCATTGAATGGTAAAGTTAAGATTGGTCATTTACAAGTGTCGCTGGTTGGATCACAGAATTGATAGGTTAATATCACTGTTGAATGTTTGCCTGTAAAGTAAACATGTACATTTAGAGGCTTACCTCCTGTACAGTCTTGCCCCATCCACCCTGGCTCACACCCGGAAACACATGTCCCCCGTACGTGATCACATGGCGAGTCTCCTGCACACTTCCTCTTAGTACAGGCGTTGCTGCAGTTCTGCCCATAACTTCCCTCTGAGCATGCTGTGGAGAAATCACTAAGTTACAAACACATTACAAAAAGGCATTGCTATTTGTGTGATGTTTACTTGTTTGAATTCACATCTTAAATGTTATTTAACACTGGTATAAAAGTAAATGTATCCATGCCATCGCCAAGGTTTGATGAAACAGGATAATATTAGAGTAAAGTTTTCTGAATGTTTATTGATGAAATGTATGAATAATCTATGTCCCATTAATTTCAAACGAAAACAAACCATGCTTGCCATAGAAAGGCGATTATTTACAGATCGCCGTCATATACATGTAGCTGGAATATTGCTGAGTGCGGCGTTTAACAATAAAGAAAGTAACAAACAAACATCAAAACGAAAGCCATCAGCAGCCATCGGCTAATGATACGATGGTTAAATGCTATTTGATATGACATTTGTACGGATAGTATTTGTTTCATGAAGGAACTTTATATCTGTTTGGATCAGTTAGTACACCAGTGATGTGCATTTTAGATCACTTGTATATTATGTATATTATACGGAATAGTAAGTCACTGCTATCCCGAACTTGTCGACATTGAATATTCCCAATGGTGATTACGTTTGGTTGTGTGTTTGTTCCTTTACGTCGTACTCAGCAATATTCCAGCTATATGATGGCGGTCTGTTAATAATCGAGTTTGGTCCAGACAGTCCAGTGATTGACATCACACGCATCGATCTACGCAATTGGGATACGATGACATGCATAAACCAAGTCAACGAGCCTGACCACTCTATCCCGTTAGTCTCTTACGACAAGCATAGTCGCCTCCTTATGGCAAGCATGGGCTGCGGAAGACCTATTCTGACTCGGGACTCCACGGGTCCAAAGGTGATTAAGCTGTTTCAATGCTTGTCCTAGTGGACAACAAATTCCAATTGTGTGGATTGTTCTAATGTGCTCACCCACTTATTCGAGTTTCTAAGCGATAGTATTCCCGAATGGCCCATACTGAAAAAATGACTTGGCATGTGGATATCATTCTGTTAGCGGACATAAACATAATGAATACTAGCGTAGAAGGTTATTGTGGGGATATTGACTTGAGACACAAGCATTTGATTTTGCTTATGCTCTTAATGGCTGATGGTGAACTCGCTTTGCAATTGAAAGAATACGACGCCAAACGGTACATTAATAAGTTAAAATATTCCTTTCTTGACAAGTTCAAAGCAATCCGTGCTTGTCGTACGATTGGATTTTAAAGATGCGTGCCAACGTGAAAAGTTGTTCCTCATGACAATTTCTGGTGACATATTGCTCATTGCAGCGTTACAACAAACAAATAAACAAACGTGTTCTTGCTAAATATAATGGTCGCAGCGCCAAAATAAATTGATGTGACCGTTCGTTTGTGTTTTATTGGACAATAAACATTGTTTTGAGCAGGTTCGCTTTTCAAAGGTATAGATAATTAAATGTAATGAATGTTGGTTTACTAATCTAAATCCTAGTTCCCATCTTTTAATTCATGTATAAACAGTCTGAGTACATAATTGAATAGTAAAGTTAAGTTTGGGCATGTACAGGTGTCGCTGGTTCGATCACAGAATTGATAAGTTAATATCACTGTTGAATGTTTGCCTGTAAAGTAAACATTAACATTTAGAGGCTTACCTCCTATACAATCTTGACCCATCCACCCTGGCTCACACCCGGAAACACATGTCCCCCGTACGTGATCACATGGCGAGTCTCCTGCACACTTCCTGTCAGTACAAGCGTTGCTGCAGTTCTGTCCATACCTTCCATTTGAGCACACTGTGGAACAATCACAGAGGCACAAAAACATTACAAAAGCCATTCCTATTTTGTGTGATTATTTCTTCTTTTAATTGAAATCTTTGATGTTATTTAATAGTGGTATAAATGTAAATGGCGTCAATGCCGTGGGCAAGGCTTGAAAAAACAGGATAACATTAGAGGTAATGTTCTCTGAAGGGTTATTGTTTAAATGTATGAACAATTTATCTCCCATTAATCTCAAACGAAAGCCATCACCAGGCATCAGCTAGAGGGTGACTATTTGATATAGAATTGTATGCGGATAAGTTTTGTTTTTTCGAAGGAACTTTATACCTGCTTCAATCAGTCATTAAATTTGTGATGTGCATTTTAGATCAATTGTATATTAAGTATATTATATGGACTAATAAGTCACCACGTGAGAAGTTGTTCCTCATGACAATTCCTTACAACAAACAAATAAACAAACATGTTCTTGCTAAATATAATGGTCGCAGCACAAATATAAATCGATGTGATCGTTCGTGTGGGTTTTATTGGACATTAACATTGTTTTGAGCTTATAATAATAAGGTTCGTTTTTCAAAGGTATAGATAATTAAATGTAATGAATGTTGGTTTAATAATCTAAATCCTAGTTCCAACCTTTTAATTTATGTATAAACAGTCTGAGTACATCATTGAATGGTAAAGTTAAGATTGGTCATTTACAAGTGTCGCTGGTTCGATCACAGAATTGATAGGTTAATATCACTGTTGAATGTTTGCCTGTAAAGTTAACATGTACATTTAGAGGCTTACCTCCTATACAGTCTTGCCCCATCCACCCTGGCTCACACCCGGAAACACATGTCCCTCGTACGTGATCACATGGCGAGTCTCCTGCGCACTTCCTCTGAGTACAAGCGTTGCTGCAGTTCTGCCCATAACTTCCCTCTGAGCATGCTGTGGAGAAATCACTAAGTTACAAACACATTACAAAAAGTCATTGCTATTTGTGTGATGTTTACATGTTTGAATTCACATCTTAAATGTTATTTACCACTGGTATAAAAGTAAATGTGTCCATGCCATCGCCAAGGTTTGATGAAACAGGATAATATTAGAGTTAAGTTTTCTGAATGGTTATTGATGAAATGTATGAATAATCTATGTCCCATTAATTTCAAACGAAAACAAACCATGCTTGCCATAGAAAGGCGATTATTTACAGATCGCCGTCATATACATGTAGCTGGAATATTGCTGAGTGCGGCGTTTAACAATAAAGAAAGAAACAAACAAACATCAAAACGAAAGCCATCAGCAGCCCTCGGCTTATGATACCATGTTAAAATGCTATTTGATATGACATTTTTACGGATAGTATTTGTTTCATGAAGGAACTTTATAGATTTTAGATCACTTGTATATTATACGGAATAGTAAGTCACTGCTATCCCGAACTTGTCGACATTGAATATTCCCAATGGTGATTACGTTTGGTTGTGTGTTTGTTCCTTTACGTCGTACTCAGCAATATTCCAGCTATATGATGGCGGTCTGTTAATAATCGAGTTTGGTCCAGACAGTCCAGTGATTGACATCACACGCATCGATCTACGCAATTGGGATACGATGACATGCATAAACCAAGTCAACGAGCCTGACCACTCGATCCCGTTAGTCTCTTACGACAAGCATAGTCGCCTCCTTATGGCAAGCATGGGCTGCGGAAGACCTATTCTGACTCGGGACTCCACGGGTCCAAAGGTGATTAAGCTGTTTCAATGCTTGTCCTAGTGGACAACAAATTCCAATTGTGTGGATTGTTCTAATGTGCTCACCCACTTATTAGAGTTTCTAAGCGATAGTATTCCCGAATGGCCCATACTGAAAAAATGACTTGGCATGTGGATATCATTCTGTTAGCGGACATAAACATAATGAATACTAGCGTAGAAGGTTATTGTGGGCATATCGGCTTGAGACACAAGCATTTGATTTTGCTTATGCTCTTAATGGCTGATGGTGAAATCGCTTTGCAATTGAAAGAATATGACGCCAAACGGTACATTAATAAGTTAAAGTATTCCTCTCTTGACAAGTTTAAAGCAATCCGTGCTTGTCGTACGATTGGATTGTAAAGATGCGTGCCAACGTGAAAAGTTGTTCCTCATGACAATTTCTGGTGACATATTGCTCATTGCAGCGTTACAACAAACAAATAAACAAACGTGTTCTTGCTAAATATAATGGTCGCAGTGCAAAAATAAATCCAGTGTCTGGAGGGGGCACGGGTGGCCCAGTCGTCTAAGGCGCCGCGATTCGCTGTGCAGAGTTGCGTCCCTTGGGCACGCCAGAAACCTATGATTGTGGGTTCGAATCCCGGTTCGCCCCAATTATGTTTCTAGGTTTGTCAGCACCATACCCGTGCTCGTGGGTTTCACCGAAGTGGTAAACGTCTGAGACCTCCATCACTTCGGGCTTTCCTCCCACATTAAGCTGACACGCCTTGATATAACTGGAATACTGTTAAAAGCGGCGTTAAACCCAACTCACTCACTCACTCACAGTGTCTGGAGGCACAGGTCTTCTTACAGTTAGCTCCGTAATGTTCTTTATCACAAGCTGTAACATTATAGAATAGACTGCAAAGAATACGTAACGAATGAATATGATATGTATCTAACGAATAGGAAAATAGAAAATGAAAAAAAAACATGCTATAGTTTAAAACAGGCACAGCTGCTAGAGTATATCGTATTTCTCCGACAGGATATTCGCTACGTTGAACACGTAGCACAAGACTTTCGATATATATTCCAATGTTAAACTCAAAATGTAAAACATGGCGAGTCTCCTGCACACTTCCTGTCAGTACAAGCGTTGCTGCAGTTCTGTCCATAGCTTCCATTTGAGCACACTGTGGAACAATCACAGCGGCACAATAAAACATTACAAAAGCCATTGCTATTTTGTGTGATTATTTCTTCTTTTAATTGAAATCTTTGATGTTATTTAATAGTGGTATAAATGTAAATGGCGTCAATGCCGTGGCCAAGGCTTGAAAAAAACAGGATAACATTAGAGGTAATGTTCTCTGAAGGGTTATTGTTTAAGTGTATGAACAATCTATCTCCCATTAATCTCAAACGAAAGCCATCACCAGGCATCAGCTAGAGGGTGACTATTTGATATAGAATTGTATGCGGATAAGTTTTGTTTTTCAAAGGGACTTTATACCTGCTTCAATCAGTCATTAAATTAGCGATGTGCATTTTAGATCACTTGTATATTAAGTATATTATATGGACTAATAAGTCACCATGTGAGAAGTTGTTCCTCATGACAATTCCTTACAACAAACAAATAAACAAACGTGTTCTTGCTAAATATAATGGTCGCAGCACAAATATAAATCGATGTGATCGTTCGTGTGGGTTTTATTGGACATTAACATTGTTTTGAGCTAATAATAATAAGGTTCGTTTTTCAAAGGTATAGATAACTAAATGTAATGAATGTTGGTTTAATAATCTAAATCCTAGTTCCAACCTTTTAATTTATGTATAAACAGTCTGAGTACATCATTGAATGGTAAAGTTAAGATTGGTCATTTACAAGTGTCGCTGGTTGGATCACAGAATTGATAGGTTAATATCACTGTTGAATGTTTGCCTGTAAAGTAAACATGTACATTTAGAGGCTTACCTCCTGTACAGTCTTGCCCCATCCACCCTGGCTCACACCCGGAAACACATGTCCCCCGTACGTGATCACATGGCGAGTCTCCTGCACACTTCCTCTTAGTACAGGCGTTGCTGCAGTTCTGCCCATAACTTCCCTCTGAGCATGCTGTGGAGAAATCACTAAGTTACAAACACATTACAAAAAGGCATTGCTATTTGTGTGATGTTTACTTGTTTGAATTCACATCTTAAATGTTATTTAACACTGGTATAAAAGTAAATGTATCCATGCCATCGCCAAGGTTTGATGAAACAGGATAATATTAGAGTAAAGTTTTCTGAATGTTTATTGATGAAATGTATGAATAATCTATGTCCCATTAATTTCAAACGAAAACAAACCATGCTTGCCATAGAAAGGCGATTATTTACAGATCGCCGTCATATACATGTAGCTGGAATATTGCTGAGTGCGGCGTTTAACAATAAAGAAAGTAACAAACAAACATCAAAACGAAAGCCATCAGCAGCCATCGGCTAATGATACGATGGTTAAATGCTATTTGATATGACATTTGTACGGATAGTATTTGTTTCAGAAAGGAACTTTATATCTGTTTGGATCAGTTAGTACACCAGTGATGTGCATTTTAGATCACTTGTATATTATGTATATTATACGGAATAGTAAGTCACTGCTATCCCGAACTTGTCGACATTGAATATTCCCAATGGTGATTACGTTTGGTTGTGTGTTTGTTCCTTTACGTCGTACTCAGCAATATTCCAGCTATATGATGGCGGTCTGTTAATAATCGAGTTTGGTCCAGACAGTCCAGTGATTGACATCACACGCATCGATCTACGCAATTGGGATACGATGACATGCATAAACCAAGTCAACGAGCCTGACCACTCTATCCCGTTAGTCTCTTACGACAAGCATAGTCGCCTCCTTATGGCAAGCATGGGCTGCGGAAGACCTATTCTGACTCGGGACTCCACGGGTCCAAAGGTGATTAAGCTGTTTCAATGCTTGTCCTAGTGGACAACAAATTCCAATTGTGTGGATTGTTCTAATGTGCTCACCCACTTATTCGAGTTTCTAAGCGATAGTATTCCCGAATGGCCCATACTGAAAAAATGACTTGGCATGTGGATATCATTCTGTTAGCGGACATAAACATAATGAATACTAGCGTAGAAGGTTATTGTGGGGATATTGGCTTGAGACACAAGCATTTGATTTTGCTTATGCTCTTAATGGCTGATGGTGAACTCGCTTTGCAATTGAAAGAATACGACGCCAAACGGTACATTAATAAGTTAAAATATTCCTTTCTTGACAAGTTCAAAGCAATCCGTGCTTGTCGTACGATTGGATTTTAAAGATGCGTGCCAACGTGAAAAGTTGTTCCTCATGACAATTTCTGGTGACATATTGCTCATTGCAGCGTTACAACAAACAAATAAACAAACGTGTTCTTGCTAAATATAATGGTCGCAGCGCCAAAATAAATTGATGTGACCGTTCGTTTGTGTTTTATTGGACAATAAACATTGTTTTGAGCAGGTTCGCTTTTCAAAGGTATAGATAATTAAATGTAATGAATGTTGGTTTACTAATCTAAATCCTAGTTCCCATCTTTTAATTCATGTATAAACAGTCTGAGTACATAATTGAATAGTAAAGTTAAGTTTGGGCATGTACAGGTGTCGCTGGTTCGATCACAGAATTGATAAGTTAATATCACTGTTGAATGTTTGCCTGTAAAGTAAACATTAACATTTAGAGGCTTACCTCCTATACAATCTTGACCCATCCACCCTGGCTCACACCCGGAAACACATGTCCCCCGTACGTGATCACATGGCGAGTCTCCTGCACACTTCCTGTCAGTACAAGCGTTGCTGCAGTTCTGTCCATACCTTCCATTTGAGCACACTGTGGAACAATCACAGAGGCACAAAAACATTACAAAAGCCATTGCTATTTTGTGTGATTATTTCTTCTTTTAATTGAAATCTTTGATGTTATTTAATAGTGGTATAAATGTAAATGGCGTCAATGCCGTGGGCAAGGCTTGAAAAAACAGGATAACATTAGAGGTAATGTTCTCTGAAGGGTTATTGTTTAAATGTATGAACAATTTATCTCCCATTAATCTCAAACGAAAGCCATCACCAGGCATCAGCTAGAGGGTGACTATTTGATATAGAATTGTATGCGGATAAGTTTTGTTTTTTCGAAGGAACTTTATACCTGCTTCAATCAGTCATTAAATTTGTGATGTGCATTTTAGATCACTTGTATATTAAGTATATTATATGGACTAATAAGTCACCACGTGAGAAGTTGTTCCTCATGACAATTCCTTACAACAAACAAATAAACAAACGTGTTCTTGCTAAATATAATGGTCGCAGCACAAATATAAATCGATGTGATCGTTCGTGTGGGTTTTATTGGACATTAACATTGTTTTGAGCTAATAATAATAAGGTTCGTTTTTCAAAGGTATAGATAATTAAATGTAATGAATGTTGGTTTAATAATCTAAATCCTAGTTCCAACCTTTTAATTTATGTATAAACAGTCTGAGTACATCATTGAATGGTAAAGTTAAGATTGGTCATTTACAAGTGTCGCTGGTTCGATCACAGAATTGATAGGTTAATATCACTGTTGAATGTTTGCCTGTAAAGTAAACATGTACATTTAGAGGCTTACCTCCTATACAGTCTTGCCCCATCCACCCTGGCTCACACCCGGAAACACATGTCCCTCGTACGTGATCACATGGCGAGTCTCCTGCACACTTCCTCTGAGTACAAGCGTTGCTGCAGTTCTGCCCATAACTTCCCTCTGAGCATGCTGTGGAGAAATCACTAAGTTACAAACACATTACAAAAAGTCATTGCTATTTGTGTGATGTTTACATGTTTGAATTCACATCTTAAATGTTATTTAACACTGGTATAAAAGTAAATGTGTCCATGCCATCGCCAAGGTTTGATGAAACAGGATAATATTAGAGTTAAGTTTTCTGAATGGTTATTGATGAAATGTATGAATAATCTATGTCCCATTAATTTCAAACGAAAACAAACCATGCTTGCCATAGAAAGGCGATTATTTACAGATCGCCGTCATATACATGTAGCTGGAATATTGCTGAGTGCGGCGTTTAATAATAAAGAAAGAAAGAAACAAACATCAAAACGAAAGCCATCAGCAGCCCTCGGCTTATGATACCATGTTAAAATGCTATTTGATATGACATTTTTACGGATAGTATTTGTTTCATGAAGGAACTTTATAGATTTTAGATCACTTGTATATTATACGGAATAGTAAGTCACTGCTATCCCGAACTTGTCGACATTGAATATTCCCAATGGTGATTACGTTTGGTTGTGTGTTTGTTCCTTTACGTCGTACTCAGCAATATTCCAACTATATGATGGCGGTTCCGTTAATAATCGAGTCTGGTCCAGACAGTCCAGTGATTGACATCACACGCATCGATCTACGCAATTGGGATACGATGACATGCATAAACCAAGTCAACGAGCCTGACCACTCGATGCCGTTAGTCTCTTATGACAAGCATAGTCGCCTCCTTATGGCAAGCATGGGCTGCGGAAGACCTATTCTGACTCGGATCTCCACGGGTCCAAAGGTGATTAAGCTGTTTCAATGCTTGTCCTAGCAGACAACAAATCCCAATGATGTGGATTGTTCTCTTGTCATCACCCACGTATCCTAGTTTCTAAGCGATTGTATTCCCGAATGGCCCATTCTAAATACATGACTTGCAATGCGGTTATTATTCAGTTAACGGACAAAAATATAATGAATACAAGCGTACAAAGGTATTGTGGGTATATCAGCTTGCGACGTCAGCATTTGATTGTGCTCATGCTCTAAATGGCTGATGCTGAAATCGCTTTGCAATTGAAAAAATAAGACCCCTAACGGGGCTATTGAAGTGTTCGCAGTAATTCATCAACGTTTGAACGAAACTGATCTTTTCCTTACAACTGCTACAGTTGTTGCAGGTACTTTAATACAGATAATGCAGTTTAGAGTTGGCTCAGATGGGATTGTAAAGATGTGTGGCAACTTGAGGAATCCCTTATAACAATTTGTATGAATTGTGACATATTGCTCTTTGCAACGTTACACAACAAATTAATAAACAAACGCGTTCTTGCTGGTCTATAATGGTCGCAACCAAAACATTAATCGATGTGACGTTTCGTGTGGGTTTTATTGAACACTAAACATTGTTTTGAGCAGGTAATAATAGGTTCTTGTTTTGAAGGTTCACATAGTTAATTGTAATGAATGTTAGTTTAGTAATCTGATTCTTGTTCCAACATTTTAATTTATGCATAAACAGTCTGAGTAAGTTAAGTTTGGTAATTCACAAGTGTCGCTGGTTCGATCACAGGGTTGTAGGTTTATATCACTGTTGAATGTTTGACTGTAAAGGAAACATGTACATTCAGAGGCTTACCTGCTACACAATCCTGACCCATCCACCCTGGCTCACACCCGGAAACACATGCCCCCCGTACGTGATCACATGGCGAGTCTCCTGTACACTTCCTGTCAGTACAAGCGTTGCTGCAGTTCTGTCCGTAACTTCCACTTGAGCACACTGTGGAGCAATCACAAAGACATAAACACATTACAAACATCCATTGCTATTTTATAGGATTATGACTTGCTTTTATTATCAAGTTTTAAATGTTATACAACACAGATAAAACAGGATAGCATTAGAGGTAATGTTTTCTAAATTATTATTGTAAATTAATGCAGCAACACACACACACACACACACACACACACACACACACACACACACACACACACACACACACACACACACACACACAAACTTACATGCACGTCGCTATATAAGCGCAATAATCTTGGACATTAAAACCCATTTCACCTCACCTCACCACATACGATAATTGATTGTTCTATCTTATCAGTTATGTCGTCTCACTTAAAAGTATTTGCTACTTTGATCTGAAGTCAACTTGTCAATCGACTGACTATCTTGCCGCATACGATATAGCATGTACTAATGTTATTGCTACACATATCTTCTCATGTCAACATGTAAGATTTCCATGTGCAGTTGCGATGTGGTACATATTTGATATCTTTTTGCGTGTCTTTAAACTGAAGCTTACATTCAGAATCAATAAAGGCATTGATAAAGATAAAGAATAACTGACTACTGTCGGATCTGCATGATTTTGTTCCACCGCGCTTCATTAAATACGTAGCTTAAGAAACTTCTTTCTTTGTCAGTAAAGATCCTGCCTATTTCATGGAGGCTTTATGTTACGACAGTTCATAAGAATGTATGCGTCTTTTGTAAGATATCGTAAAGTGCCTTCGATAGACTTTGCAGAATTGGATTGATCGTAACATCGTTAATACAAATCTGGTACACAAAATATCGAAAGCATCGCGTAAATATGGTTAATTTCAGCTTTAGTCATGTCGATCAATTAAAAAGCCTGATACGAAAATACAGAGGAGGCGGAGACTTTATATATAGAGGCTTCAAATATGTCGGTTGTTGGAGGTAATGTCCTCCAAAATTACTCAACTTAATTGCACAACAACCCGTTCTCCGATCACAGCCATAGTCGGGTGCACACTCATCGAAACAAGTTAACATAGCAACTTCACTGATTTTAATAATTTCCAAATCCTTGGCCGAAATTAAAATTTAAAAACGTGAAATGTGTACATAGAGACAATACAAAATTGAACAAGTGAAATTGTACCCCGAGCAAATATTCTACCAATGGGGTTAATTCAGTGATCAGTCCTGTGGCCAAACTGACAGCTTTTCTCTGTCTGCTCCTCCGTTTACCGTGTCCTATACGTATGGCTAACATAAATAAAAATACGTTTAGAGTTGCTCTGGGTTGACCGCTTCCTAGAGTATATGTATCACCGCTAAGCTTTTGTTTGTTTGTTGTTTATTTCCGCACACAGCAATATTCCAGCTATATGAAAGCTGTCTGTACATAAATCTAGTCTGGAACAGACAATCACGTGATTGACATCATAACATCGATCCACCTATTCGCAATACGCAATCGATACGATGACATGCATCAACCAAGTCAGCGAGCCTGACCACCCGATCCCGTTAGTCGCCTCCCAACAAGCATGGCTTGCTGAAGATCAATTCTACCCGGATCGTCACAGGTTATCTTCTAGGCATCACTAGATAGATTATATAGTGGATAGACTCTACAACCAAGTCAACATATCAGTATATGAAAACTTTTGTCACGCCATACCATAAATTTCCACCTCACACAGATTTAGCTTTGTGCTGTGTGTGATGGTGAAGTATCTCCCTGTGCCGTCACACGTCACGTCGTACACGCTGTCGGGTGTTTGAGGTGTGTCAGAGGAGAAGGTGAAGCAGGTGACGCCGGGTGTGGAGCTGCTGTAGTTACTCAGGGAGAGGACAGCAGTCCTGATCCGCAGAATAGCTAAAACAGGCAATGAAATAAATGACACACTGCATGACGGTGACAATGTGCTCTTGAACAATGACAAATAGCATATCAAATGATACTAATCATCTTGTTGCTTAAACATGTGGGAACGTCAAACAAGACCACGTGACCACATTCAGTTCAAATGTGTAAGAAACATTTTAAGTTATTATTGATCGGCATACACTAACATGCTTTGTGATGCATCAACGTAATATCCCAATCAATCAAATAACGCTGTCTGGATTGATACATACAATCTGCCCGGTTGTATATCCTGACGTCGTGTATCCTGTACTGCTGGCCAAGGTCCACTGTCAACGTAGCTTTAGAGTTCCGAGAATGAGAGTGAAAACAGGAGTTGTGGAGCACATCCTGGTCCCGGTTCCCATCCACAACTTTGTCTGCAGTCCAGCCGTTACGTGCGTAGTCAGTTCCGGACGATTTGGCTGTCTTGTTGTAGGCAACGTTCCCTTAAATTAAAGCTTTTAATTAACTTTAACATTGTATTTCAAACTTCCTTGGCATTTGATCTTGCTGGATTCAACTGATCAGTGATATTTGCAAAAACAAATGTCACAGACATCCGGAAATTGTTAATGTTTGAAGGATATATCCCAAAGGACTCTGTCTCACACAAAGTTCAAATTTCAAACCTCATAAGACATCCAATTACAACGAATGTGATCAGCCAAGTTATGGTGTCAGCAACCGTGTGGCATCTTATATGTTTGATATACAAACTATAGATGGGATGAGTGTGATATTACCTGAGTGGAAGAAACTAAATGGGATTTAAGGCTTTTTCCTGCACATTCGTACAGGGCGATTCCCCATGTTGAACGGTTAACCGTGAGATCGGTTCATTCATAACTAATTGAAAAATCAGTAAAAAACAACACAAGATCAGTGAATAATTAGCAACTTATATTGAAAAATGATAAAGTTTACATTCGCAAGAGGCAATACATTAGTCCAAATAAGTGGCAACAGCAATAAAAAACAGGTCCTAAAATAAGTCAGTGCACTCAAGAATATAAACTGTCGTCCGTCTTGAATGTGAAAATGGATCTAGAGCTGTGGCAGGTATTCAATATTTTCAGATAGGTATCCCGTCCACACTGGGCAAGTACAAATGTAAGACTGAAGTCAGATCGGAGAAGGTCTCCGTATAAGTCGCCGTAGCTCTTGTAGAGACAGCCTTCTAAGAAAACTGATACCTACCACCTCTGTCCCGCTCCCTCTCGCTCACATACACGCTCGCTCACACGGACTAACGCACGCACGCACACACGCACGCACACGCACGCACGCACGCACGCACACACACACACACACACACATATATATATATTTATACACTTAATTATAGCATCGTCCCTTTGAACATCCACATGTTATTCAACACAATGGAAACATTGATCATTGACCAAATCAAAACTGATTCTTGTGGCAAGAAAACTCACCTCTCTGACAGGTTTGCCCATTCCCACCAAACCATCCAGGATCACATGCACCGTTACAGACTCCAGTTGTCTGGTCACAGGGCGGAGTACAGTGGCAGGAGTAGCTACACATGTCTCCAAACCTTTCGTCTTGGCAGGTAGTACCTGTGTAATGAACACGTACAACAAACTTAGATCAGGTTAATATAAAATATAAAAATCAATGTTTATTGTATGAAAGGTCATTGACCGACATAAATGAAGTGCATACGATCAGTTCACAAATAGGTTCACGTTTCATTTTGTACATTTCTGTTCTTGAAGGCATACATGAAATATAACAGATGCCGAACACATTTTAGTTCTTGATAACGTGTGGGTGTCATAAGGCGAAGAAATTGTTGGACTGATGGTCGAATTACTAATCTATTTGGTTTTGCTTTCGAATGTCTTTGAAGGAAGATTTCTGACATTCGAGATAGAGATGCGTGGTCAGCCAGTCAGACACATCGAGTAACAAACTGAGACCCAAGACAATACGATTGCATACACCTTTAATTGAGTTAACAAGACGTGTATGTAAGGACAAAGTGAAATGTATTTCGCAGGAAAGGATAAACCCAATTTGTGACAAAGGTACATGTGTACATGTATTTGGTGTAGGATTGACAACAGCTCAGTGAGTTGCAAGTAGTCTTGGTATTCTCAAAAACTTGCAAAAACAATAGCGTAAAAAAGTCAGGGACAGATGTTTGTTTGCACTTAATACCCATGGCTTCTGTAATGAAACTAGTGAGAAAAGGTTGCAAGGGATCTCTGTCTTTATTCCGGATTCCACAGCCTGTATCTGAGAGAATTGTTCGCAGCTATGTGAAATGCTTGTTTGCAAAGCTGTTAATATATCAAAAGCCAGCTTCGAGACCGAGTCTAAGGAACAAGTTAGCGCTCATATTCTTACCTCTTAGATGTACAAATATTGAAGGATGGGGGCTAATTATGTAATGAAATTCTTTAAAATATATTATAAGTGGGATTTTTCCATTTATCTAAACCAATTCTAAAACGTTTATTGGGACGGTTTCTATTTAACGCCAATTGTGACGCTGTCCTTGTTAGATTTAACGATTGGTTCATCAATTGTTCTGTGTACTTTTATTCTGATACATCTTCTACAATTGCATTATCATATACCATTCTCACATTGTTTAACAATTCCACCTATTATGTATCTTTCGACAAATTGACATTTTACTTTCATGAAAAACAAACTGAGGAATACCATCTGCAACTCAGTTGGTATTCCATAACTATCGTTGCTAAACTGACATCCTCTTCTTTTAAAAAGTGAAAGAAATGTATGAAATTGTTCCGTCGCCTGTAGTTCTTAATGATTATTTGTAATATTAGCATCACAAGCTCTGTTTCTTGACACACAAGCTAGCGTAAATGCCTCATCTATCTCATTATATTTCTTGTTAATGTTTCCACACAATAGGCATGTGCACGTATTTCGATTCTGTACGACAATATACTTAAAAGTAGACTATGTTGATAAACATCTCACTTGACACTAGAAACTAGCCCACAACATTTGTATCCGAGTGTGCCACTAAGCTGTAAATACGTGGAATATACGATATTTGTACAATATGCATGGTAAACACTTTGCAAAGTGAGTATCCATATCAGTTCAATAATCAGTCAACAAATGATAACTTAGACAGTAGTCCATCTACATGCCATGTGCATATGCTTGTCAGTACACCATGTTTATACAAAGTTCGTGTAGAGTCTACATCTTCTTGAGATGGAATCACGCCCACTTTCTACGATCTATCGACTCCACTACCCAGACGCTCCATCAGCTCCACTAACCAGACGCTCATTCAGCTCCACTACCCAGACACTCCATCAGCTCCACTAACCAGATGCTCCATCAGCTCCACTAACCAGATGCTCCATCAGCTCCATTAATCAGATGCTCCATCAGCTCCATTAATCAGATGCTCTACCAACTCCAGACCGCCTCCGTGGTCTAGTGGTAGAGCGTCCGCCCGGAGAGCGGAAGGTCCGGGGTTCGATCCCCGGCCGCGTCATACCAAGAGACGTTAAAAGATGGTACTTGCTGTTACCCTGTCTGGTGTTCGGCATTAAAGGGCTAAAACAAGGACTGGTCGGCTCGGGATTAGAATACTGTGTCTGAGTGGGGTATTCATGTTAAACTGCGGCATGGTATCTCAGTGAGCTAGCACTATAAATCGGCATCAGTCCGGACTAGTACAAGCAGTCACACAAACACACACACGTACATGCACGTCGTTATATAAGTGCAATTATCTTGGACGCGACGTTAATCCCCATTTCACCTCACCCACCTCTATCAGCTCCACAACCCAGATGCTCCATCAGCTCCATTACCCAGAAGCTCATCAGCTCCACTAACCAGAAGCTCCATCTGTTCCACTACCCAGACGCTCCATCAGCTCCACTACACAGAGGCTCCATCAGCTCCACTACACAGAGGCTCCATCAGCTCCACTAACCAGATGCTCCATCTGTCCCACTACCCAGACGCTCCATCTGTTCCACTACCCAGATGCTCCATCTGTCCCACTAACCAGACGCTCCATCAGCTCAACCACCCAGACGCTCCATCAGCTCAACCACCCAGACGCTCCATTAGCTCCACTAACCAGATGCTCCATCAGCTCCACTAACCAGATGCTCCATCAGCTCCACTACCCAGATGCTCCATCAGCTCAACCACCCAGACGCTTCATCAGCTGCACTAACCAGATGCTCCATCAGCTCCACTAACCAGATGCTCCATCAGCTCCATTAACCACACGCTCCATCTGTTCCACTACCCAGACGCTCCATCTGTCCCACTAACAAGACGCTCCATCTGTTCCACTACCATGACACTCCATCAGCTCCACTAACCAGATGCTCCATCAGCTCCACTAACCAGACGCTTCATCAGCTCCACTAACCAGACGCTCCATCAGCTCCACTAACCAGACGCTCCATCAGCTCCACTAACCAGATGCTCCATCAGCTCCACTAACCAGACGCTCCATCAGCTCCACTAACCAGACGCTCCATCAGCTCCACTACCCAGACGCTCCATCAGCTCCACTAACCAGATGCTCCATCAGCTCCACTAACCAGACGCTCCACTAACCAGATGCTCCATCAGCTCCACTAACCAGACGCTCCATCAGCTCCACTAACCAGACGCTCCATCAGCTCCACTAACCAGATGCTCCATCTGTTCCACTACCCAGATGCTCCATCCGATCCACTAACCAGACGCTCCATCAGCTCCACTAACCAGATGCTCCATCAGCTCAACCACCCTGACGCTCCATCTGTTCCACTAACCAGACGCTCCATCAGCTCCACTAACCAGATGCTCCATCAGCTCCACTACCCAGACGCTCCAATAGCTCAACCACCCAGACGATCCATCTGTTCCACTAACCAGACGCTCCATCAGCTCCACTAACCAGATGCTCCATCAGCTCCACTAACCAGACGCTCCACTAACCAGATGCTCCATCAGCTCCACTAACCAGACGCTCCATCAGCTCCACTAACCAGACGGTCCATCAGCTCCACTAACCAGATGCTCCATCTGTTCCACTACCCAGATGCTCCATCCGATCCACTAACCAGACGCTCCATCAGCTCCACTAACCAGATGCTCCATCAGCTCAACCACCCTGAAGCTCCATCTGTTCCACTAACCAGACGCTCCATCAGCTCCACTAACCAGATGCTCCATCAGCTCCACTACCCAGACGCTCCAATAGCTCAACCACCCAGACGATCCATCTGTTCCACTAACCAGACGCTCCATCAGCTCCACTAACCAGATGCTCCATCAGCTCCACCACCCAGACGCTCCATCAGCTCAACCACCCAGACGCTCCATCTGTTCCACTAACCAGATGCTCCATCAGCTCCACTAACCAGACGCTCCATCAGCTCAACCACCCAGACGCTCCATCTGTTCCACTAACCAGATGCTCCATCTGTTCCACTAACCAGATGCTCCATCAGCTCCACTACCCAGACGCTCCATCAGCTCAACCACCCAGACGCTCCATCTGTTCCACTAACCAGACGCTCCATCAGCTACAGTAACCAGACGCTCCATCTGTTCCACTACCCAGACGCTCCATCAGCTCCACTAACCAGACGCTCCATCAGCTCCACTAATCCACTAACCAGATGCTCCATCTGTTCCACTACCCAGACGCTCCATCAGCTCCACTACCCAGATGCTCCATCAGCTGCACTAACCAGATGCTCCATCTGCTCCACTAACCAGATGCTCCATCTGTTCCACTACCCAGACGCTCCATCAGCTCCACTACCCAGATGCTCCATCAGCTCCACTAACCAGACGCTCCATCTGTTGCACCACCCAGACACTACATCAGCTACACCACCCAGACGCTCCATCAGCTACACTAACCAGGCGCTCCATCAGTTCCACTAACCAGACGCTCCATCAGCTCCACTAACCAGACGTTCGATGAGCTACACTACCCAGACGCCCTATCCACTGGACTAACCAGATGCTCGATCAGCTACACAATAGCTAGTAGCATCTTCAGCAGCTTTGATCACTCTGCTTTAGTCATTAAAAGGGAGTTTGTATTCTAACCTATCGCCTAGGGATGCTTGATAAAAGGGCATGTGACTATCTAGTAATTCAAAGTCGAGCGGAATATAGAATCGGTTACCTAATGCATCAGCAACCTCCTACCATAAAATCACAATGGTTTTTGTCAGAGAGTTGAAGGCTTTGGCAAAACAACGTGATCTACATGGATATTCTCGATTGAGAAAAGCTGAATTGATTGATATACTCGGTTTGGAATACAACAAACCCAAGACTGTTAGAGAAATCAAAGCTGAAGCGAACAAAAGTGGGCCTAGAGGTTATTCTCGAATGAGAAAAGCTGAATTGATTGATTTACTAAATGTTGATAAATCAGTTGTTGATAATAAAAATCAATCAGTTGATGAGTTAAGATCTGTACCTACAGCCGGCGTTGGTAATTATCTAAGAGGTTTGAAGATGGATACTAATTCCAACATGGATTTTAATGATGTTAAGCCCATTAACGAGGACTTAGATGATTTAAATAGTA